AAAAAATCGATTCCAAATTGGTTAAAAAATTTATAGATGAAAGTTAGTTCGCTACGTTTATATGTATATATATATATATATATATATAATACGCGAAGCATAGCGAAAGTTTCAAATCTATCTATAACTTTTTTATATTTGTTATGCACGCGTTCCATTTCTACTATATATTTACTTTCAATCATATAATCTTGATAAAACTAAAATCGATTTCCTTCTACCTAATTTTATATTTCCTTGCAACTTTTAAATTTTAGTCAACGTGCCTTAATATTAAATGTCTCGGAACATTGAATAATTAATTAGCCTAATATAACGCGCAGAAATTTAGCTCTTAAAACTCATTGCCATCTCAAATATTTATCATTTCCAAATGCTAATAAAAGATACAAGCATATATAAACGTATCATGACACAGTCAACATAAGTGAGAGTAAATATCAACAATCATCATAACTTTCGCACGATACGTGTTGCATGTTCTAGTTTATAAGTACCGAGTAATGTTAATTAAGCAATAATTATACATTTACCCTAATGTATATATACTAAAATTAATAAGTAAAGCCAAATATATGAACGTAAGTTTGGGTGTGCTTAATTTAATTTTAGTTAATTTATTGAAACTTTTATTATCCTCTAATAAAATTTTATGAAATTTGTTATTTTAGTTCGTAAAAATAGTCAATATAAATTTTAAAGAATTTTAAGACTCTACTCTTATATTCTGTCTTTTTTATACTTAAAATAAGCTAAGATTTATTACTTTCAAATTTAAAAGTAACAATAAAAAATAAAATGTACACACAAGTAATGTACACAAGTGTATGACACATTTAAGTTATAAATTAACTTTATCCGTATTTATAATATCCTAAAAATATATTGCCTAAAATAATTTAATTAAAAATACTAGAGATCAAAGTAGAAAATAATTATTTTAGATTGAAATATAAATAAAATTGGAAAGAGATCTTTACAACATCGAAATTCAAAGATATTTGATAAATTAAGTTTCACGAGTGCAGAGACACTTTAAAATTAATTTCAAATATATTTTGCTTTAATAAAGATTTAATTGCAAAGATATTAAAAATTCAAAGGTTATAAAAAAGAAAAAAAAATGTTATTTTTTTCTCAGCCTATTTCTCTCTTTTTCTGTGTGTATGTGTTCTTTAAAAAAATCTTGAGTTCGGGAGATCCGTTACGGAGTCAAATAAATTTTCAAAAAGCTTTGTCCGGACGAAGTGCACGGAGTCCAGAATAACCTGTGCATCATATATCTAACTGTCACATATAATGTAATTATAAAAAAGATGTTGAGTTACTTTATACCGGACAGCTTTGTGCAATTTCAAAGGATCCAACGTTTCATTCCTAACAAGGTTTCTAGAGAATTTTCTTTTTGATGGAATGCTTTCTAGAAATACCATAGCTCGTCGGACATAAAATAATGAAGTGATGGAGTGTGCTGTGTTACTCACAATGCTGTGTACGCTTACAGTATAACGCTCGCGTATAGTTAGGTAATTCAGTAATACCGTTTCATGAGTTTACGCGCTCACGACTTTGCCATTGCTATATACAATCCTGTCAAGAAACAATATACAATACATATTTTACTAATTCAAATTTACATAAGTCTTTACGCAAATAACCACACGACACGGTTGCACGTTTATTGAATACATCATAAAATGAAAATTATTTTTAATTCTAATGCACATCGTGCGCAATTGGCATATATTAATAATATATTGCGTTGAATGTATCGCTAGATTCAGCATTCTGTTTCCATTTTGAGTAAAAGATGCAACAGAGACGTGAATTGAGAAAGAATTTCTGATATTCAAGCATATTTTCTCCTATTGGATCGTGCCGTTGCACTTTAAGACGTTATAGACTGTTCATTGAATCCTCTCGACACAGAATTGTAAAATAAACTTTTTTCCTTCTAAAACTAGAGATGACAGCACATATTTTCTAAGAATAATTTTTTTTGTGACAAAAAGACGTTATTTTATTGCCCAATTTCATCACGTAATATTCACGAAATAATAATGGCAAAATTTTACCTAATAAAACCTAATAAGAGTCTATATTTTGCATATTATTAAATTATGTTCTACATGTGCAAAAATAATATTTATATTAAATTATTTTTCGCTCAACAAATTAGAATATAACGCAAAAAAGATAAGCATCAAATGTTATAGCCGTATATAAAAAAATGTTTATCATTAAATCATTACTTGTACACAATAAGTAAAATTCTAATTAAAAAATCCTGTTTAATAAATTATTTATATAATAAAAATAGAAGAAAAAATTTCAATATAGAATATATATATAATATCCTATAACTTTTCACACAAACCACAATAAAGATAAACTATCACTAGCAGCGTTGATTGTCGATATAGTTCACATATGACTATTATTGGATTTTACGATATAGTGTTCTTTATTATTTTTTACACGTATGTTATTTAAAAAGAAAACATAGTATTATAACTTTACGTGTCAATTTTACAGATATTTCGAAAATAAAATAAAATAAAATTTAAATAACGATACTAAAGCAATTTCTAAAGAATTCCGCGCATATCCATTTAATGTAAGACTAATTTTTATCTACGAATATACACACTGTAGATGCGACAAAATAATAGAAAACTTTTGTTTATTAGTGTACCATAAGCGGGAAAATTCGCTAAAAAATTAGTAAATTAAAAGTTTTCCAAAACTTGTATCTTTATATGCTGACTTTTTGTGATAATATGCCATTACATAACCGAGCTTTATACGCGTGTTATAATGGATACAAGTATACAGATACAAACATAAGCAAGTTCTTCGAGTTTTGATTTTCGTCTTGCATTAATTACTTTAATTTAATTTGCTTTAATTATTTTTTTTTAAATAAAAAGAATTATTGTAAAAAAACAGCTGTTGTGGCGTCGATAATGCATTAGTAACTTATAGCATAAACATTTGAAGAGTTTAACGCGCGGATAGATTTACGGGCAAAATTACTATATTTCCTGATCTGTCGTTTATTTTTGAATAAGTCGCGAGTCTCTTACGTCTGATAGCATAAACATCAAAGTAGAAATCTTCAGATACTCGTAAAACTAATCGGCTATATGGGATTTTTCTCAAGCAATAAAACAAATTCAAAAATAAGAAATCGTCGCAATAAGAAAATAAAGCGCTTAGAAGCAAACATCGATTTTGCAAAATTCATCATATGTGAAAAAAATGATATTTAAAAACTTAAAGCAAACTTTTATCTCACATGTAGTGAATTTTACATACAATATATAATATAATGTAATGTTTAAAATTTATGGGACAATATATAAATTATGCTATAAATACTTAACACGTTTTATGAAATTATATATCTATACTCGATATAAATATACAATACTTTTGTAATATTTATATTTACACCATATGTGATAAACAACTTGATTAATATTCGTTATGAAATCCATCAGTTATGCGTATTAAATGAGTGATTTGCAATTCAGTTTATCGAGTTTGTGACACGATTATCAACGGAATGCAAAACGACATACTTTTAATTACACGAGTTTAACTTTATATTTCGTGCGATAAATTACATCCGTACTGATGATGCTGGGATGATAAACTAATTTCCTTAATGAACGTCGGCAAGTTCTAACTCTGCGCAACGTATATGAATCTCTGTAAAATGGAATTTTGCCAACTATAGTTTATCTTATCGTTCCCAATTCGGATTTTTAAAATATGTGCGCGTATGTGACAGATTCATAATTTCACATAAATAAAATTGTCTATAATATCCTTCATAGATACTTGGATACTTTAGACACATATTATCGTTTATATGTAATTGTACAGTCATGAGAACTGCACAATGTATACGTATGCAAATTGGGATGAGATGCTGCTCGACTAAATATATATCGTACCGAACGAACATGTACGACAAGCTCATATCAATTCAGCGATGAAGAGGATGACGTATATATAGATCAGATTCAATAGGCGGATCAAACGCGACAGAGTTAATAACGATGACGAGGGAACTTTCACCGCCAGCTGTGCGTTTTGCAGCGCGAATATGCATGACTCTTTGAGTGCTTCAACTTACGACTCTACATTGCACAAATATATTACGGAGATGAGAGAATTCACACAAGTGATGTTGGCACGCAAAGAAGCATTTACAATTCTTTAAATTTTTCAGAGCGATAGCTTACTGTTTGATATAATTCAGTGTATATATTACAATAAGTTTCGAACTATACCGGAAATTTAAAAATATAGATTTATATTCGAATTTAAAAATTATTTGTTATAAAACAAAATATTTCTATAAAGTAAATTCCTCTCATAACAAATTTTCATATAAAATATATATTTTAAAGAAAATATATGAAATTATTACGCTAGCTTTAATTATTCATCGCTTGTAATTTGATAAAATATCATATTCAAAACTGAAATATTATATTAAAACTTTTTACACCACTTTGATTGAAATGAAAAACATTATCGCTAATCGAATCTTGCACATGAACGTTCTCGAAGTTATAAATCTAAAATATCCTATAAATGTTACTATATAAAAAAAAAAAAACCACGATACGATTGTAACTTTTAATTTTGCTTATCACAAAATCATATTGTGATTCTGATATTTTACAGCAAAAATCAATTTCACATTATTACTGAAAATATAATTCTGCTTCGTTTCCAAATATACACTCACAAATATGCTCGAAAGTATCGCGAGTGTGTTATAATTGAGCATCAGTTCCCGTACGCATAAATTACGTTCCCCTAATTTAATTAAATTTAAAAAAAAAGATCTCTTTCTCAGGATGTGCTCGGTTAATTTGCTCATGCGTAAAACTATAGCTTTGGATAAAGAGAGGACTGGCAGTCTGCCTCGTGCATGTGCGGAGTTACATGATACCGGATAATAACGTGGAGCATGTACTTACACACTACAGTAAGATTCTTCGTGCCGGAGGCCGTGGAGAAGGTCGGCGCGTCTGCCGTAACTTCGCAGCTGAATGTACCCGAGAGGCCGAAGTCGACTTTGCGGAGCGTTACCTGGCTCTGGTTCGAGTTGTCAGGCTGAAACACACATTCGCATAAGATGTACAGAGCGAATGGAAGTATATTCCTGCGTGTCGCGGCATAGGCGGCAGCCGAGGTTATTACGTCGCGGCGAAGTCGTAATGTCATTTACATGTTATATGGTAACATGATTTTATGTAATCTCATTTGTTGAAAGATGTTACGCGTTGACGAGATTAGATATTCACGGTTTCGCAATACCGTCGTGTGTGCCGGTAATTACTAACCGTATTACTGAATATTAAAACTTGATGTTAACTTTTTTATTAGCTTATACTTTATGTGTATTTGCGCTATATAACACACAATTACTCTTAATTACTCAAAAAAATATTTACATTTACTGAGCGCGGTGTAAAAATAATTATAAATTTTTTTAAAGATTTTCTCTAAATATGTGAAATTAAAACTCTTGAAAAGAATATATGGCGTCTCTTCCGTTTCACTAAATATTCCATAAATATCTTAGCTTTCGTCATATCGAGGAATGGCTGGTCCACTCGAGGGAATAGTCACCTTATCAGGAAATTATCCGGCACTCGACTAAAGTGGCCCGAAAAGGCGAGTTGCTAACGGAAGGAGAGATGAAGCAGTCCCGCGTGCTGCAGGAGAAGCCGGGTAGAGAAGGGTTTAATCGGAACAGGCAAAACGAAGCATGCATAATTAGCAGGGCTTAAATAATGAAAGAGGAAGAAGCACAAGCGGGGACGCGCCGATGACTGGAGCGAGAAAAAGGAAGGGTGAACTGCAAGCTCTTTGACGACCCGGAAAAGGAGCGTGAAAGGGGCAAGTGAGCTCTTTCCTTCTTGATTTATGTGGCCGTCATCGTGCACGCGCTTTCTGACTGACTTTACAGAAGCAGAGACGAAAGCCTCGTCTTGTGTATTGAAAGAATAAATATGAAACAATAGCACTCGGTCAGTGTTATCTATCTAGGATATAATCTCCAATTATCGTCCGGCTAGTAGCGTCTTGTTATTCTTCTTTGATTGGCGATGACACGCGAGATGTTCAATACCTGCTGTGTATGAATCGATCATTCGCAGACTACTAATGTCCGCGTGCGAGACATGTCAATTCTGTCAGGCAAGCTATCAATCTGTAGAATCTATGAAAAATTAATGAAGCGATAAACTATTCAAGCAAGGTACCGGATATATCGAATATATGCGACAGGGTACATCAGAGAGGAATAGCGTAGATGCAATGCCTTTTTCTTTGTTAATATAACTTTATTACTCTATCTTTTTTTATATTTCTCTCTGCAAATATAAAAATATTCTTTTCTAAAATATATTAAATGACATATTACCACTAATTACTATAAAATATGAATCAGCTGTTCCCCGCTGGAATCATCATTCACCGATGATCCTGTCATTTTAATATTCTTACTCCATTAATTTTAAATACGCTGTATCTTTGAAAAAAGTAATTATTTTTAAATTAGTTTTTGTTATATCACGTTTATATCGTATAACATGATAGTTTAACGTGATAGATTTTTGTCTCTTTCACATAGATCCTTACTTGTCTGATGCTTGTTTGAATTCCTATCAGAATAGTAACGACATCAATATGCTGGAAGCGTGATATTTACACTTCTCGAATGAGTATCGGTCGTATCGGTACTCGGTTTGCTTGAGAATTGCAAGTAGATATTGGAAACGAAGGCTATTATGACTTCGAACACGCCATTGTGAAATAATAGCTTAGTGCTCGTAGTCATGCGCCGATCCTTTTGTTTGCTGATAAATCGGTTCGTTGCTTTTAATGACAATCATTTCGAACGGATACTTTTCTCGCCCGTTTTACGTGAATGTTTCAAAAAAATCGTTCAGTACAATTTGTAAATTCGATGCGATAGACGCGCAACGAATTGAATTAAACTGTGTCGATACGCGCAGTATCGCGACTTTATATATCATTGTGAACGCGCTTTTAACGTTATTATATAATACCTCGCGTTACGACACCTGCATGATCGACGCTTTGTTAACTCGTATAAATATTCCGCGATTCCGACTCCGCAAATACTGAGTCGAATTGGTTAGCTCAATGTAGCACTTTCGACAGACACAGAGAATTTTCACATATGTGCAATATCACACACACAAAAACCGCCCTTTACGTACACGTAGAGCAAAATCTGTTACACGAGAAGTTTTCATTTTCGGGTAGGATAATGGTGTGATAACAAAATGATTTACGTTCATAATCAAGCTAAACCAATCAAATATTACGGGGAGAAACAACGCAACGTGAAAATGATTTTTTTCTTGCCCTATGAACACGCTGCTTATGATTCATTCTCCATAAAGATCTATGAAATAAACTACATCTGACATCGCGGCTGGAGTACTCTAGTATTAATTCGCGGAAATACAGGATTACGCATGAAAATCCTACAAAATCGTATTTCCGATGTAGATCTTACCGCGAGATACACACAACGCGAAGTAAATCAAATATCGCTCCGAAAAAAGAAAACGACCAAGTAACAAAACAAGTTTTTTTCGGCACCTCCTCCCCGGGGAGGAGAACCGTCACTTCGGACGAACGTATTTTTTTCGAAATCGAGGCTTTTATACACATACATCCCTCGCGGGGTACGCCACATTACTTCCTGTCCGTTCGTCACCGGAGAGAACGGGCCGCGCACGGACCGGCCGTGTGTTTCGAAACGATAAACACAAACGGGAACGCGCGGCGGCGCGTTGTCACGGTTTGTCAGGTCGTTCATTCGGCTGTATCGAAAACACAATGGGACAACGGCTTGTTTTTGACGCAGCGCGCGCGCGCGCGCGCGCGTGCAGGGATGCTGCGACGCGCCATTCCGAAAACCACCGTGCCCAACGTGCGTAAAGGCCTACGGAAATGTTCGAGGGATGATAAAAGCGCCGACTGTTTTTACGGCGATTACAGCGGTCAAGGGTGCTGTTAACGAGACACCGTCCGGTGTTGCGGTTTGTGTTACGGTGATACGATAAAGCCACATATTTCGTTGTTCGCTCACCCCCATCGATTTACGCGGCTCGAGCCGCGAAAAAATAGCGGTAGTTTCGCAGCCGTGTGGTTCGCGTGGTATATGTGTGTAGAGGTGCCCCAATTACTAAATATCTTCGATAGTGGCGCAGCGTGACCGACCGTTAAGCTTTCGGATGCATCTTTCTTTTTAACGATTTAACTTTTTTCGCATGTTTGCAATGCTCAAATTAATAGAATTATAGCTGTGCTACAACTCCCGCAAAAAAGAGAAAAAAATTCAAGAATTATTAACGCAAAGAGCGGAAGTAATTTTAAATACATATATTGAAGTAAAATTACGCCTTACTATAAAATTTTAATACAAAATTTTACACTGCATTTATAATAGAATTAATCTTATCCAAGAAAAAAAAATTGTGCTCGGTTAAATTTCATCTATCGATTATGCAACATTTGCCGATCGCAGTGTCTTCTAAAAAAAAAAAAGAGTCGAAATTCATTACTTGTGTTTTTATTATATAACATTATTATCTCGTATATATCTGTACAAAAAAATGATATATTTTATTAATATTTATTAAATATCAAATATTTGGCATCAAAAATTTATGAACACACTCATTTGATCGAAATTTATATATTAATGAATTCTTTTCACACATACACACACACATATATTCCCTCAATTAAAAAATTTTTAATTAGACTCTTTATTTTTAAGAAGAAAGAATTATATATCTAAATAAAGTAACTTTTTATTAAAGAGATCGTGAAATATTAGGATGTAAATAAAAATCAGTATTTTAGAAGACACAAAGATTTGATATTAAAACTCAAAAAATAATATAATGAAAGTCTCTACAATCGGTGTTAAAGTGAAAAAGTGTTATTGAAAAAAATATTCGCACACAATGGTGTGTATTAAAACAAAGTTAGTTTTTTTTATGTATAATTTTTCTATCTTATTTTGATAAAATAAAAGGGGTAAATAGTTGAATTATTCAATTTGCACTTTCTTGAAAAAAGAAAAAAAAAAGACTTGGGAATAGATATGAAATATACTATTAGCTATTACTTTCAATATATAAGCAAAAAAAGGATTCAATCTGAACGAAGGCAAAAAATTTCTGGAGTGCGCGATTCTGTTAAGTGACTTACGTCTACATAAATCCCGGAGATGTTGAAGATCTTGATAGGTGGATCCTCGCTGGGTGAGAATCGGTAGAACTCATGCCTGCCCCGGTACCACTTGAGAGAATAGAGTGGTGCCTCCTGCAGATCATAATGGCACCGTAGAATCGCCTCCTGACCACGTCGCACCACCGGCGGAACTACCTCAAGACTGACCTTCTGCAGGCAGCTCGCACCTTTCGGGAAAATGAGAACAGAAACGGGGCATTAAGTCTAGTGCGCATCATTAGTCCGCTTTTATGTACTCGACGCGCGAGAGATCGCACAGTACGCGTCAGCGAGAAATTGCAATTCCGCCGAATGACAATTTCCCTCATCTACCCTTCTCTACCGTCCTCCACCTCTCTCGCAACTAGATGCAACCGCAAATACAAGCACGCGCGAGCTCTCGTGTATTCATCTATATACATACAGTAAACCATTCTTCCCCCTCACCGCCGCGTGCCCCCCATTTTCGCGTAATCTATACGAGGTGCTCCGCAAACTAACCCTCGCACTCGAACAAGCACGATGTTTTTTTGCTGAAACTCCGTTATGCCGGGATTATCGACGATTCGACCTATTAAACCGGACAGAATCAGCGCTGGATTCACATTCCGAGCGCGCATTCGTATTAAAACAGAAAGCGTAAGAGAGAGAGAGAGAGAGAGAGAGAGAGAGAGAGAGAGAGAGGATAGATACAGAGAGAGCGAAGCTCTCGGCGACTTCTTGGTGCAGAATGACGCTCTTATTACGTAGTATCTCCGGGCTATACGGAACTGAGTACAAGCCGCAAATGTGGGAACAAAACGGGGTTAGTTCCCTCCTCAGAAGCATCAGAAACATATGCCATGCTGGCAATATTTTAGAAAATATGGTACTTTGTACTACTGCGAGCGATGTACGTTTTCACGCCCGTGCGAAAGCGTATTTAGACAGCACATTTGAATCCTTTGTCAGACACATTCCATTTATTATAACATATTAATGGTTTGCTCATAAATAATGTTATGTATTTGTGTATTGCATATATGGAATATTGACTCTTACGAAAACATTTAAAAATATGCTTTCAAATATGTGTATATATGTATCTTTTTTAATTTGTATTATAACTAATTGTACATATTAATTGTACATCAATTGTATATTAAAAATACTTGACATTTCATCGTTTATATTTTCTTGCAAACTGCATAAAATTTTATTATATAAAATGTGTTGTTTCACTGCATATATTCCATAAAATAAAAAAGATCAGTTTCCTAATTATATCGCTTATTTTTACTTTTTCCTCATTATTTCCTCATTATATCATAATAATAATGTTTAAAAAATTGAAACATTGCAGTTCAGTATATATATTTACGAACATCTGAATTTCTTTTCACTTCGTGTAAATTTAATATTGTACACGGGTTTTATAAAGCCTTCACCATTACATTTGCATGCAAGTAGGTTAAGTAAATAAATAATTTATTTTATTTTATTCCGCGAGTTACACGCGGAATGAGTTCGCTCGAATAGGAGGAGTTGACCGTGTTTAATATAGTGCACATGTTACACCAAGTTCTCAGAAATGAGAAAGAAACAGACGGCGCCAAGAAATCGCGCCACATAAGTACAACTACTAGAACACTCATAAGTATGACAAAAAATATCAAAAATGTAAATGCTACTAATATAAAGCTAAGAACATACAAAATTATTAATTTCAAAACATATTAACATTTTTTTTATATATTTAATATAATAATTAATCACGTAACATATATAATTCATTTTTAATCACACAAATAATCATATTTGATTACATACAATCAATAATGATTTATATAAATATATTATTGACTATGAAAGAGAGAGAGAGAGAGAGAGAGAGAGAGACAGAGAGAGAGAGAGAGAGAGAGAGAGAGAGAGAAAGATAATTGTCATTCTAACTTATACATCTTATAAATGAGTAAAATATGGAAGCAAATGGATTTTATCAATTAAAAACAATTCGTTTTTTAAAATAATACTTGGATCGTCCTGTAAACAATTTAATGGAGTCGTCTTTGGAGCATTTCTTATTCAGCCGAAAGAATGTCAGCTAAATCCTCTAAAGGCAAATAATACAAACTTCCACATTTACCAGGAATAATATCTTGAAAAAGCTTTTTTCTGCTTAATTTTCGTTTGAAAGAGATTCTAAAAAATGTAGACCGACATGATGCCGGTACTAAGTTTCCCGGGATACCTTTTGAGGGAAGCAATATACTTGCAACTCGCAATACTCGTTCCCCTTGCGTTAATTCCGCGCTGTACTACCTGACGTGTCTTTATATTTAACTCTCAAGACCATAGCTAGTTTTTATGCCCGGTAGAGCGCCGTTTATACGACTAATTATTTGTAAAGAAAGTTAATTTAACGAAATACTTAACGTTTCATCTTCTTTCAGAGAAGAAAATACGCCACGCAATACAAAATTGCCTCGCTCGCCGACGTCAATTGAGACGATGGATTTTTATACTTTCATAAAGGCGCTCGTTTCTGCAAGCGATAGAAGCCAATATAATGGCGGTAATATATTTTACGAAATCAATCAATAAGGTCTGCCTAATATTCTATATACAGGCTACATATACATAGAATATTTACTATTAACATTTTTAGATTATGAAAAGAAAAATAGTTTAATGAGCTTTCGACAGATAGATTGAAAGAAAAAATATCTGAATTAGCGACAGTAAGTACATCACGAGATTGCTGAATAATAATGTTTTTATTAAGCAATAAAGTATATATATACAGATATTCATGATGAATATATGTATATTTTAAAACTTTGAAATTAAAAGATTATGATATTTTAAAGAAAGTTAAAAAAATTCTCTATATGTTACGATAGCCTATGCAGTTCATGTATAATATAATTCATAAGATAATTTTTATTTCCTTCCCCTGTATAATTAGCAAGTAGAGTTTCTTTCTGATAAAAGGCGGTTGCGTTTGTTCTTTTTCGTCCGCTGCCATCATCTCATCGCTTTCCCGTTTTCTCCAACTTTGAAATTTATAACAAAGTTTTAACAACTCGTCTTCTCTGTGTTGCAAGTAAAGGAAGTCAGGGATCCATCGCATCGAGAGTAGCGTAACGAAGAGAAATGTGAATTTGAATACTCTTAGCCTTTAACGTCAAAACTCTGGATAAATTGCGATAATTTGACCGCTCGTATAAAGATTAATCTTAATATCTTTCAGTTGAGAATGTCGAAATAAGAGTAAAATTGGGTGTTATCATAAGACGATTAACTTTAAATGTCATGATTTTAAAATACTAGGATTAATCAGTGTTGTAAAAATTATTATTATAATAATAAAAAAATTTTATAGTAAATAAAATTACTTATAAAAAAAGATGGATAACTATAAATATTTAGTAAACATATTTACAAGAAAAAAAACTGATTTATATTAAAAATATCGATTAAATATTACTCGTTATCAATTTTTGAGAAGTATGACAAGTATGACAAGTATGACAAGTATAACAAGTATGAGTATCGATTACAATTACTTTTTGTACCAGTTTTTTTTAAATTAGTTTAAAATTCTTATTAGGTTTCAATAGCTCAGATCATTGTATCGCTCACAATATTGGGAGAAATTACACGCATCCACACTACTCTCACATTTAAAAAATAACATTGGTTTTTCCGGTCGCTGCAAACAGATTTGATTGCAATAAAATTACGTCGATTTAACCAAACGGAAAGATTATTCCGGAAATATCGTTGAAAGGTAAAGCCTTTCTATGGCATTTCCACGCTGGAGTATTAAATGGTGCAATCGACGCGAATAAAACCATTTTCGTTAAATACGATCGACGCGATTTGCGAAAGCGCGCTTCCGACAGCTTCGACAGTGAGTTTCGCGATATCTATGCGGACTTGGCTGCACCAGTCTGCCATCCGGTATAATTCCAATACGATTCGAGCACTTCCGTCGCGGACGAAGGCGCGCTTCAGGCAAATTAAGCTCCACTCGTAACTGCGAATGACTACAATCAGAATTGCAAAGCCCTGTGGTGTGCACGCTTTTTTTCCTTCGCGTTCCTTTTGTTTCTGTCCAGCATGCGACCAATTTAAGAGCACGAGAAGAATGCTTCTATTCGAACGCGAAACTTCTCAACCACATAAGCAACATTATATAAAAAAATAAAAATATAAAAAATGCATGACATATGGCCAGTAAATCTTCAATGCAGCCGTCAATTAATTTGTGATTTATCTCAAATAGGACAACGGTGACCGTAAAAATGTCGGCAAAAATATTGAATGTTTTTTCGATATTTCAAAATTTATACAATATAAAAGATATTGACTACAATGTAATAAATATAATGTAAAAATGTATAATATTTCATACATGACGTTAATTATTTAGAATAAGAAATATTTAATCAAATGAGTTTCAGTTATTTAGTTCAACATATTGTGTATTCCACATTAAGCTCTATTACCGAAGATATTATAAAAGTATATAAATTGATATATTACACGGTCCAATTTATTTTATAATAAGTTTTATATCGAATGTGGTCTACATTTTAATATTACAGATTTGTATTCATCTCTGGAATTTGTTTCATGAAAAAGATATTGTTATAATTATCAATGCACGCGCTTGCAGATTATCTAAAGTTGACTTGTATTTAGTACCCATTAGTATTTATATTTAATTGTATTATATTATCGATTAATTCTCTTATTCTCTCAATTCTCTTATTTCGGTGAGTTGAAAGCTAAGAGTAGATAGATAAATTTATTATAGGACAATATTTTGTATAATTGCGCGGCGCAAAATTAGAATAAGCTTTAATTGGAGCTTTTATTTTTATTGGAGTCTTTATTTAATACGAACAATAATATATATTTTTCACCTTCGTATAAGGAACGCACTTGCAAACAGATACTCCGCAGAGGGAATGCGTCCTTTACCTTTATCATAAAAAGTTCCTCGTCGAATACGTTTATGTCTGTTTCAGTTTATTGCCGTTGTATAGAGAATAGAGACCGAGGATAAAACTTTCAACTTTAGAAGAAATGAAACGGGTTAGTAGTAAATCAAGTCAAAATAACAAACGGATTTAGCATCGAAAGCGTATCGGAACGTATTTTCGATGCGGTTACGCAGGGATATTGCGAAACAAGTTAA